TATAAGTATTTAAGTTCTATATTGCCTAAGTATTTTAGAAAGAAAGGAATTCCTGTGAATTCAACTGAAAAACATTTTAAATCTATTGATTTTGCTTGCATTGTGTCCATGAAAAATGTCCAGTGGTTTGATATCTCAATGCTCTTTGTACTGAGATATTTTATTTTTTATATTTCGTAAATTGTTCAGTTATAGAGAAATTATTTTGGGGTTTTCTAGGAAGACTAGGACCGAATACTCAAGAGTACTTGTTTAAAGTGCTGTGATAACACAAAAGCAGCAGTTTTTTTCTGAACATTATTAGTTCATATTATAGTTCAACATATGGGGAGTCAGTTTAATTCACTTAATGTTTTATTTTTTTCCGTGACTCCCTCAAATTTATTTCCACTATTTCCATTTGAATTATTTTCCCTTTTTAATAACCATTCTTGGTGTCAGTTTTTAAATAGCTTAAGAGAATAAGAGAGAGGTTTTTGGAGTTATGTTGTAGGACATACCTTAAAAGTTTTGATTGAGGAAAAAGTTCCCCTTTCCATTAAAAAAGATATTTTATTTGACAATAACTTAAGTTGTAAGTGATCACGCTAAAAGTTATTTTTTAACTGTGGTATTTTCTTGAATTTGTATTAAGACATTACATTTTACATGATTACAAATATATTTCATGCTGTTTATTCAGATATGCACGAGGCCAAAATGAAACAACTTACTGACTTAATTTAATCGGCATTAAACAGAATTTAAATATGAATGTCTTAAAAATGAACAGCCTTGGGAGCATAAATTATCCAGATACTCTAAAATGAAGGAAAAAAACTACAGCTGGCAAAGGAAATAAAGCAATGGGAGACAAACAGAAATAACTACATCTCATAATTTTTAATCACCTGGACTCTAAAAATGGTGATAAAATTCTGTCATCCTTCCTGGAAAATTCCAGCCTACTCATGCATGGGCAGCAACAAGTCATCTGTGAGGTTTTGAACACAGTAAAAATTTTTTCTATTTCTAGATGACTGCTACTAATAGAGTGTCAGCTTTCCTATAGAAACTAGAGAATTTTAGATAATTGATAATAGTGGAGTTTGTTAGCAAATTAGAATGCTTGTATACCATATTGAAAACTTGATTCTAATTTATTTCTGCTGTTGCTACCATTTTGCATGCATGCATTGCTGATTTTCTGCTCATTGGGGTTAGGTCAATGGTTCTCAAAACTTAGTGTTTATCAGAATGACATGAAGTGCTTATTGAAAAACAGATTGCTGAGCTACCAGCAGAACTCTGACTCAGTAGGTCTGGGATGGGGTCTGAGAATTTGTATTTCTAACAGCTTTTTGAGTGATGCTGATGGATTTGGCCTCAGGACTACTTTTGGAGATCCACTGGTCTAGGTGAATTTCAAGACAGCTATGTGATTCTGGCATAAAAAAATCAGTAACAGATTGAAATAGTTATTTGTTACACAGAAATATCTTCATAAGGGTGAATTACAATTTTTCCCATTTTTCTAAAACTAGACATAGGGGTTTTCAAATGTTGACAGTGGTGAATAAAGGACTCAGTCAAGGGCCCAGACATCATGACATAGTTGATCCACAGATGGCTGCAGATGCATGAGAAAGTCCAACTGAGACTATAAGCATTGCCTGGCTGATCTCAGCACAGCCCACCCCAAATTATGGTGATATAAATGGTGATATAAACCAAATGGTGATATAAACCAAATGGTGATATAACCCAAGAATTGTGAGATAAATAAATGGTTACTTTTTAGGCCACTAAGTTTGTAATATATTAGTAGCTACAGCAAAATAATACACAACCTAACATCTATTAATGGCTAATTTTAAGTCTTGTTGTCTTAGTCATGTCAGGCTGCTATAACAAAGTGTCATAGAGTGGGTGGCTTAAACCAGCAGTCCTCAATCTTTTGGGCACCAGGGACCAGTTTCATTGAAGACAATTTTTCCATGGACCAGGGTGCAGGGGGATGGTTTGGGGAGGATTCAAGCTCATTATATTTATTGTGCAGTCAAACCTCTTTGCTAACGATAATCTGTATTTGCAGCTGCTCCCCACCGCTAGTATCACCCCCTCAGCTCCATCTCAGATCATCAGGTATCAGATTCTCCTAAGGAGCATAACCTAGATCCCTTGCATGCGCAGTTTACAGTCGGGTTCCTGCTCCTATGAAAATCTAATGCTGCCACTGATCTGACAGATCTGACAGGAGTTGGAGCTTATGCAGTGATGCAAGGGATGGGAGCGGCTATAAACACAGATGAAGCTTCGCTGGCGTGCCTGCCACTCACCTCCTGGTTCTGTGGCCCCAGGGTTGGAGAGTGCAGGATAAAACCACACTTATTTCTCACAGTTCTGGAAGCTAGAAAGTACAATATCAAGGTGCCGATAGATTCAGTGTTTGGTGAGGGTCAACTTTCTGGTTTGACAGCAATCTTCTCACTGTGTCCTCACAATGCAAAGAAAGGAAATCAGCTCCCTAGGGACTCTTATAAGAGCACTAATCCTATTTCTGAGGGCTCCACCCTTATGACTTCATCTATTCCTAATTACCTCCTAAATCTCACCTCCCAGTACTGTTACTTTAGGGGGTAGGGTTTCAACATATGAATTTTGGTGGGGGAGGGGCACGAGCATTCAGTCCACAGCCCCTATACTCTGCTAAGCATCTTAGATACATTATTAAATTGAATTCTGTTAACAACCCATGGATTCAGATATTCTTATTATTCCCTTTTTATAGAAAACAGCCATTTTTGCCTCTCTTTATAGCTAGAATTTAAGCCCAAGTCTCCTGAAACTGTTCTCTAAACTGAAATGCCTTATTGCCTCCATCTGCATTTGCTTACTGGCGAATCCTGAGAAATTTGCATGATTTTAAAGATTATTACTGCAAGGATCACTACTTTTGCTACTTGCCCTCTTTAAACCTAGCATTAAAGCTAGCATTTCCAAACTTTCTTTCACTGAGATCCTACTTTTGGTGGTGACTTTGCTGCACCTACTAGGCTCCTCTCCTGCTTCCTGTTACCATTTCAGTTGGTGGGATGCTCTCCTGTCGCCCTGCCTAGGACTCGCCATCTGAACTGCCAACAGTTTGAGGGGGAAGTGGTTGGCAGATGAAACAGTTTCATCTAATTTAAAAAAATTGTTGTTGTTGTTTTTTTATAACATTTTGGTTAGATTTTATAACTTTGCCTTTACCTAGCAAAGGTTAGAGGTATCGGGTGTCGGGCAGGTGGGGGGGAGGGGATGGGTTTATATATATACATTATAAGTGCATTGTGCATTGTTGGGGGGATGGACACGCTTGAAGCTCTGACTCGAGGGGGGAGGGAAGGCAATAGCAATGTATGTAACTTTAACATTTGTACCCCCATATTATGCTGAAATAAAAAAAAATAGAAAAAAAATTTGTGTAATATTCAGTTGTCTTAACAATATTGCTATTTTTCTGAAAAAGAAAACACCTATGTATAGCCATCCAAATCAAAAGTAACTGTAGCTTAAGCTCACCAGCTTACGTAGTGTGGGCATGCTTGAGTGACTGCCACCACCTAGAGACAGTGCTCCAAACTGAGAAGTGTCACAAATAAAATCAGACCAAGTTAGGAGAATTTAAAAGTAAGTCATACGAGAGAGAGTACAGCTGACTATTAGGAAGACTTCAACCCAGGTGGAGAGAAGCTCAGAGGCCTGTCTTGTAGGATGACTTACCATGTGAAAAGGTAAGGTGTGTTCAACCTTCACAATGACTGGTTATTACCATGGGGTTTCCACATGGCAGGGGATTGGTTAAAAGTGATTATTTTATATCATTTTAGGGAGATGATTTGTTTTGTTTGTGGTGATCAGGGGCATTTACAAAGAAGTAACCTAAGTTTTACTTACATTCAAGAAATACTCTATATTAAGTTTTGCTTGCGTGGCCTAGTTGGTTTTTCCAGGATGGGGGAATTTTAAGCCTGGTCTCTTTCTTATTTTATTTTAACAGAAATTTAATTTCTTCAAAGTGGTGCTCTAACAAGCCTGTAATAGTTGAGGGAGTGATAATGGCAAGGCCTCTTTAGTGTATATGATTTATGTAGCACTTTGAATATTAATGTTGTTGTCCTCCAAAAATAATAGCTTATTTCTCTATGAGTGAGAAATCTTATTATTTTACCTTATTAACCAGACCTTCTTTTTCAAGTGAGACAGATCTAGGCAATTGAAGTGCTTTTATAAATTTGTATTTTTAAGACTTCAGAAATTTGAACAAAATCCAAATTGAAGGCTATTTTCCCCAGATATTCTAATTGGCCGAAAGCCTTACTTATAGGCTTTATAAGGTCATAGGTATGGTTGTTGGTTAAAAGGTAAGATGCACTTACATATTTTCTTTTTCTTTTTTTAGGAGGTCTCACTTTTCCTTTCCAAGTGTAGTAAACAAAAGACAAGAAAGAGAAATAGTGTCTAACACTTAGATAGCACCTGCCATCTGCCCAGCCCTCTTCTAATCCTTTGCACTTACTTCCCAAATTCTCCTGGTGTAGGCACAATTATCAAGCTCTTTTATGAAATGAGGAAACTGAGACACAGTTCTTACTGAGGAATAGTCTCAAGTTTACATATTTGGTTATTGTTTCACCTAGGTTCAAACTTGGACGATCTGGCTCCAGAGCCCATATTCTCAATTTTTGATACCCTTCTGCCTCTAAGACCTTCACTGGGCAAGTTTGTTGGGTTAAAACACTTACTGTATGCACAATCACTACTTTTCTGAAATATTGGTTGTGATACTATTACATAGAAAAGAATGCATATGTTAAGCTAATGAAGTAAGTGTAAGATGTCCTCAGGCAACATATATTTTTTGCTTCAGTTTAGTTTTCTCTTTACCCACTTTTCTTTTTGTTAAGAGAGTCTCACTAACTTCACTTTCAGTCCTCTTTGCCCATTTCCCGTGCCATGGGCGCAGGTGCTTCACTCACCGCAGTTGTCCTCATCAGCCTGGTTGCCGCAGTCGTCCACACCGTTGCAGTGAAGCAGCTGGGGCAGGCACTTGGTGATGTTCCCGCAGGGGAAATAGCCCAGAGGGCACGTGACATCCTGTCCACTCCCCTGAGAAACTGTGATGAAAAGAGAGGAGAGGGCACAACACTTGAAGGAGGTTAATACAAAAGCATTGCAAAAAGTGGTTTCCCTCTGATGTTTTATGAACATTTTGCTTTCTCATCCTGGTTTGTACAACCATCCATATGGTTGCCATCTTACTGTCCTGATGCCAACTGTTTTCCAAGAACTTTCACCTCAATAGAATACTCTTTTCCATGTTTCCAGAAGATGCCAAAATTCTCCTCTCTTTGCCTTTGTTCATGCTGTTTCCAAGAGGACACTTGGAATGTCCTCTTCCTCCCTTTGAAAAAATGAAATGTCTGCCCATACATTATAGGTCAGCCCCATCCTCCTCTTCTACAAAAACACTTCAGCCAATAATTTTAAAAATAGGAATCTATTGTATTCTCACTATAGGCTTGGAATCAAGGCTGGTCTGGTATTAGAGGAAGGAGAAGACATAGAGGAGAACAGGAAAGCATGTGCCATGTACTTATTTATATACCCGACAGTTCCTCAGCGTGAAGCCCTGTGCAAGATTTTGTGCATGCAGCATTGAATGCAACAGAGTTCCTGCCTGGGTGGAGTTTGGATCTCTGTCTAGTGGGGAAGATACATTGAACAAGTCAGCAGACAATTAGACGTTAGAGCTGCAAAAAGGAAGAAAACAGGTGCTGGGGCTCTGTACAAGGGGTAGTTAGTGGGGGCCCCTGCAAAAGGGTGCCATTTAAGCTGAGCTTGGGAGGAAGAAAAGGAAACCCATGATGGGAGTGGGGAAGTAATGGTGGTTAAAGTGGTGAGGAAGAGGCTTTGGGCTGAGGATCAGGGAACTCTGAAAGGTCGTTGTGATGGAGCCCAGTGGGCAGGGATGAGTGGCATGAGCTGAAGTTGATGGGGTAGAGAGGTATCCTTGGGCAAAGGCAAGCAGTTTCGATTTTATTCAAAATGCAAAGAGAAACCAATGAAGGATTTTAAGCCAAGGGACCACTTGGGAAAACTGTCTGCTTTGGTAACATCATTCTGGCTGCTGGGGTGGGGTGTTAGTGAGTGGGAAACCGGGGCGGGTGGCAGGAGTGGAGGTAGGGCTGCCTACTAGGGGACTCCACAGTGCTCTGGGTAACAGGTGATGGTACTTAGCTAGGGTGGTGGCAGTGAAGGAGAGAAAAGTGGACACATTTGACATGTGGTTTAGAGGCAGAGTAGACAGAATTCGCTGAACCGGCTTGAGCAGCTGGGAACTTGGCAGTGCCATTGCTGAGACGCTCTGGGGGTGCAGCAGGTGCAGGAAGAAACATGGCTCATTCACCCTCATTTCCATCCTTTACCCAAGAGCTTGACCACATGAGCTTTCCTGCTCCACTGAACAGCAGGGTCACGCACCACCCCTCAGCTTTCTTGAAACCCCTTTCTCATTCCAGGCGTCACGTTCTGGTTTCTCATCCCTTCCCCAATTCCTGAACCATCATCATCACTTCCTCTCGAAACTTTGGCTCCAGTTTGTTGGAGTTCCTGACTCAGATTCTATTGGATTGCAACAAGGTGAGACTCTACTTCTGGTAGACAAATGCTCTTTTATTTTATTTTTTTGAAGGAAAATTAGTTACTATTTGCAGTTATGTTTCTAGGAGAGAATGTGTTCTGAATGTCCAAAACTAATTTAAAAGTTAAAGTTTTGGGATATTATCTGGCTTGATATATTTATATCCTTACAAATATCTAATAGAATGAAGAGGACCATAAGAACTTTGAAATCTTAAAGAGAAGACTTTAATGTCTCCCTACCAGAACCCAAATTTACACCAACAAGCAATTAATTCCATTTGATCACATATTGGTTCTCAAGTTGTTTTAAGTACTTTAATCTTATCTCCTTTACGAGGAAGAAAACTCATTGTAAACAAAGTCCCAGTGACTACTTCTTTTGTGAAACATAGTGAAACTTTTCAATAACAGGGCAATTGACATTCTCATAGAGAAGCAATCCGTGTATGTCTGGCTTTGCACATCGTTGTTTCAGAGCATATAATTTGAGCAAGGACATAGTCAAATCTATGTAATAATGAGCTGTGCTGTAAATAGTATTCTCTCTTGTGAAATTATTTTAAACTTAATCAATCTTTTTCAACCAATTGATTAACGCAATGTCAAAACAAAGGATTTGTATGCCAAAGGCCATCAGTGGCAGAACATCACATATTTCACAGACCTCAAGTGTAAATATAAATAAATTGATCTATGTTGAGACTGACTTTTTGTATCTTTATTAATGTTTAAGAACACTTTAAAAACCAACATTTTAAGAAAAATTCTTTGATGAATTGTCAGCCTCCAGCCACAGATACTGTTTGAAGATGTTTTAACTAGACATACAAGCCTGTGTTTTTGTGCTGCTGTTTTGAATTTTCTTCTCTAAGCAACTTCTTTTATGAATATTATGCTTTTATGTACTGTCTTTTAAATTTTATTTAGTGGCAGTTATAGCTCTTCAATGATTGCATCACAAAATTAGTTCTACATTTTCATAACACTATGATTCAACAGCTATCCTAGGAATCTTATATATTTTTGAGTAATATTTTTAAGGTAGCTTTTTTATTTTGAGATAATCTGAAACTGACAGAGAAGTTGCAAGTATAGTATAAAGAACATTTTTCTACTCTGAACCATTTGAGAGTAAGTTGCTGACCTGATGATCTATCACCTCTAAGTACTTTAATGTGTATTTCCTATAATCAAGAACATTTTCCTACACAATCAGAACCATTAAAATTAGGAAATTAACATTGATTCCATTAGTACCATTTAAACCTCAAAACCCATTCAAGTTTACATGTTGCTCCCCAAATGTCCTTTATAGTAAAGGGGTCTAGTTTGGACTCACTCTTTGCATTTCATCGTCACATTTCCTTATATCCTTCCTTCCTTTTATCTGGAACCATTTCTCAGTATCGTCAAGGTCTTCATAACCTTGACACTTTTAAAAATGACAAGTCGAGTATTTTATACAGTGTTCCTGAACTTGGATTGTCTGATGTTTCATCATAATTACATTCAGGTTGTGCATGTTTGGCAAGAAATTCACATAAGTGACGCTCATTTCAACCTGTCAGGTAGTGCAAGGTTTTGATTTGTCCCATTACTGATGACCATCACTTTAGTAAGGTGACATCTTGATTAAGGTGACACTTGATTAAGGTGACATCTCCCAAGTTTCTCAAGTGTGGAATTAACCTTTGTAATTAGTATACATTTTTTAGAGGGGTAACTTTGAAATTATGCAAAAATCCCTTTTCTTATCAAAATTTCATTTTATTCATTTATTTATATCAGGTAGACTCATGTCTTCCTATTTTATTCAAGGAGTCACAATCTGTTAACTATAATTATTTATTAAGATGCTCAGGTTGTCCCACATTGGATCAGTAGAAACCTCTTTGACCTAGCTTTAGTGTCCTTTGGATATTTACCCACCATGCTTTGAGCACTTCTTTGCTTTCTGGCACTAAAAGGTTTTTTAGGATCATATTTACTTTTCTGGCCATAGCCCTGGAACCATCCATTCCTCTAAGGAGGTTTTTCCTCTAAGGGTGGAATGGTTTTTAGAAGCCAAGATGTGGACTCAAGTTCTGCTAATGGATATTGGGGTATCACTGTTACCAGGCTCCTAAGTGGACAGGAAATATATGTATAGTTATACATTCACACATTTACATCTATATTTTTTTCTCTGTATGTCTCCAGATACTGAAAACTATGAATTGATCTCCAATTTCTATCCAGCACTACAGGATTCAGTTTAGTTTTCTCCCTTTACATATATGTTACTCTCTTTGCTGATGGTGAGATGCTTGTATTCTATTATCTTTAATGTATTTATTATCTTGACAAATACTCTTCTCTGCATGGATGCTCTCCTCACCTTACTCAGATCTTACCCCCACAACGAGCAGCTCCCTGCTTGAGCAGTCTCCTCACCCTGTCTGGGACCAGGCACCTGTTGCCTCTGTGCTTACCCTTCTCAACCCAGTGGAGCTCTGAAATTCCTCTCCAGACTGCTGTGCCTCCCTTATCACCCCCAGCACTGATGAATACCTTCTTCTGATCCAACAAATGGCTTCAGAACTCAATTGTTCAGGAAGAGAAGTAGGAGGGCAAGGGGATAGAATGTGGTGTTTATAGGAAATTTTGGAGAAGTCAAAAGCAAAATCTAAAGAAGAAGAAAAAACCTTTTTCTTTTTATTATGGAACTATACCCTTAAGAACAGCAATAAATCATAGTGTAATAGCACTAATACACAGAAAAATGATATTAAGTCCCTCTGGAAATGTATGCTCAAAGAGTTGTAGAAATATAGTTCATGGAAGGGTAAGTAAACACGCTCCAGTTGTGTAATACTATCTAGCTGCCCCAAGTGCTCTCTGTTTTTGTCCTGAACCAACCTAAATATTTCAGCGGTTGACAATTTTAAAAGGCTGAGAGGAGGGAGAGTTTATATTTCAATGCAAATTGTTTAAACTCTCCTCTTTAGACTGACATTTCTCATAAAGTCTCTCTGGCTTGGATGCTAACGGGGATTCAGCTTTTCTATCACTGAGCTTCCAGCCTCCTGGCTGCTGCTATTGTTGGGGTTTGGATCTGTCCTCAACTCCTATATCTTTAATTTATTTCTCATGCACAGTAATTGAGCCTTCATCCAAATATTTTGTATAGCCACTCCTAGGAGCTCAGATCTCCTTATAAGGCAAAATAGATTATATATAACTATTAAAAAAATGCTCCAGAAAACTTTTCCAAAAGATCTCTACATGTGAAACTGTTAGGATATAGGTTTAAATATGAAAAGGTGTTATTATTGGGATGTGATGGATCTTCTGGTTGCATTGGATAAGATCCTTTAGGTGTGGTCGGAATGCTAACTTTTGAATAGTTTTGTGTATGAATTGGCATAGTTATGACCCCTCAAGGCTGTATATTGGGTAGACCAATAACAAAATTTCTATCAGACCTCAGCCT